TAAAGGCTCGCCTGCTCAGGTCTTCCTCAGCAGCCACCAACTCCAAGGCATGAGCCATGAGGCCGTGATGGTTACTGGCTGTAGTCGCTGAATCCCGGCCCCTGAAGATATCCAGGTCCTAATCCTTGGAACCTGTGAATGTTACTTTAAATGGCAAGAGGGATTTTGCAAGTGTGATTAAATTAAGGGGGTTGAGATGGGGAGGTAATCCCGGATTATTCAGGTGAGTCTTAAATGTAATCACAAGCGTCCTTACAAGAGGGAAGGAGAGGGAGATTTTACTACAGAAGAGAAAGAAAACGGTATTACAAAGAAAGTGGGGGGGGGGGGGGGGGAAGGAGGAGATTTAAGAGGCTACCCTGCTTACTTTGAAGATGGGTAAGGGGCCAGAGGCCAAAACTGGAAAGGCAAGAACATGGATTCTCCCCTGGAGGCTCTGTTGATACCTTGATTTTGACCCAGTGAAACTGATTTCAGGTTTCTGATTTCCAGAACTGCGAGAGAATAAACGTGTGTTGTTTTAAACCATCAGGTTTGTAGTAATTGGTTACAGCAGCCATCAGAAACTAATATATGACCTCCTACTCTCAACTCTTGTGTTTGGCACTTGAGATAAAGCAGTTAAAAAACAAGATCCCTACTCCACTCACCACCATCAACCCCCAACTAGGGAAGTTTATAATCTTCGTCCCTTGGGATTTTTAGAAGCAACAGCCAAAGAGACATTTCAACACAGAAATAGTGAATGACCAGTAAGCACATGAAAGATGCTCTATCAATAGCATTAGGGAGGGCAGGCATCATTAAAACCACAATGAGATATCACTTCACACCCACTAGAATGGCTATAATAGAAGAGATAGACAATAACAAGCTTTGGTAAGGTTGTGGAAAAACTGGAATCCTCATACATCTCTGGTTGGATGGTGAAATGGTTCAACCACTTTGGAAAATAGTTTGGCAATTTCTTTTAAAGTTAAACAAAAATTGTGTGAGCTAGCAATTTCACTACCAGGAATCTATCCAAGATAAGTGAACATCTGTGTCCAAAGACAGGTACACAAATGTTCACAGCTGCGTTATTCATAGTAGCCAAAAAAATAACTCAAGTGTTCAGCAGCAGTGAACGAAAATGTGATAAACACAATGAAATATCATTCAGCAATAAAAAGGCAGATTACTGACATGATACAATATGGGTGAACCTCAAAAACATTATACTAAGTGAAAGCAGACACAAAAGACCGCATATTATATGATTCCATTTATATGAAATCTCAAGATTAGTGGTTGCTGAGACTGAAGTTGGAAAGACAGAATGGCTAGAAATATGCAGAAGGGATCTTTCTGGGGTGATGACGGTGTTGTAAAACTGGATTGCAGCTGCACAGCTCAGCTAAAAATAGGTGGATTTTAGGGTGTGTAAATTACACCTCAGTAAAACTTATTTAAAAGAAGGTGCAGCCCAAGCACATAGCTGATGAGGGCTCAAATCTCTTAGGAGTATTTGCATTCTAAATTTTTTTTTTCAACGTTTATTTATTTTTGGGACAGAGAGAGACAGAGCATGAATGGGGGAGGGGCAGAGAGAGGGAGACACAGAATCGGAAACAGGCTCCAGGCTCTGAGCCATCAGCCCAGAGCCCGACGCGGGGCTCGAACTCACGGACCGCGAGATCGTGACCTGGCTGAAGTCGGACGCTTAACCGACTGCGCCACCCAGGCGCCCCAGGAGTGTTTGCATTCTAAAAGGGGCTTATAAAGGGTCACCTGGGTAGCTCAGTTGGTTACGCTCAGGATCTCACGCTTTGTGAATTTGAGCCCCACCTCGGGATCTCTGCTGTCAGCACAAAGCCTGCTTTGGATCCTCTGTCTCCCCCTCTCTCTGCCCCTCCTCCCTCCTCAAAAATATATAAACATTTAAAGCCAAGAAATAAAAGGGGTTCATAAAAGAAAAAGATTTCAAAAATCTTGAGTATGATGGAAGGCCAGGTGACAGCCTCCAGCACTTCTTCAAGTCATCCTGGTAAGCTGTGTCCTGCTCCACCAGCAGGTGCCCCGGTGTACTGGTGCCCTCCTTTACACTCTGGAGCAGAATGAGAACAAAGCCACACACTCATCTCCCATCTCAGCTGGGCTCCCATGTGGAAGCCAGTTCCTGCCTTATGTAGCCACGTGCGTGCAGCAGTACCCCGGCTTCCAGGCCTCAACTCTCCACAAGGCAGGCATGGAACCTGCTCCAGCCCACCCCCCACAGCCAGTTCAGTCCAGCTGGAGCAGCTGAGACCCCCATTCATCCCACTCCTTCTTCTCAGAAGGTCCTTGCACCTCATCCCACCCGACTCTTCCTGGGCTCCATACAGCTGACAAGGCCACTCTTGGGAGAGGTTAGGATGAGGAGGCTAGGGCCAAGACCAGGGCAGAGATACCAATCCTATTGAGCCTCGTATTTCCCCAAGAGCGTGAGGTCAGTTTCAAAGCACCCCTTATTCTGCAGCTTTACTTCAAGTAAGGAGCTCCTCCTACAGACCAGGCCCATACCTGGCACTGCAGATAGAGTGGTTCTGTTTCTACAGACTCAGAACTTAGCCTGCCTCTAAGTTTTTCTTCTAGTCAACTTTACAGATTTCTCCCACTGTTACTTTTATAGGACACAGGCACCTGCAAGGACCTATTCCTTAATGTGTGTTCATTCCCTTGCCCATTTAGCTCAGTGTAATAAAAGCAAGTATAGTGGGGGCAGGAACCGTATCTAAGACTTCTTGCATTCTCTCCAATGTCTCCCCCACAACATGTCAAGTGTAGACAAAGATCTAAGGAATGTACCATATAATAGCTTAGAAGTATAAGGTGACCAAAATACATCTGTCAAGGTATATTTGGTCTTCATCCACAGTTCCTGAAAATGCTTCAGGGATACCAAGGTAAAATGGGTGTCTTGTTATTAAGGAAGTGACTTTTGGTCCCACCGAGGGCAGGGGTTGGTTGCCAGGAAGACCAGCCATGTGATTAGGGAGATAGAAATCTCAGTTCCACCTCTCATACCCCTGGGAGGGGAAAGTGTCTGGAGGTTGAATCAGCCACAGTCCAACGACTTAGTCAATCATGACTAGTGACGAAGCCTCTATAAAACCCAAGGGGACATCTTTTGGTCCTTTTTGGAGAGCTTCCACACTTAGGGAGCCAGAATGCTTCTGTGTGTCACCAAGACAGGCCTCAAGCCCCATGAGGTCAGAAGCTCCTTTTTTAGGGGCCTGGCTCTATGTAACTCTTCATCTGACTGGTGATTTGTATTCTTTATCGTATCCTTTAATAAACTGGCAAATGTAAATAAGTGTTTCCCTGAGTTCTGTGAGCAGCTCTAGCAAATTAATCCAACCTAAGAAGGAGGTCATTGGAACCTCCACTCTGTAGCCGGTGGGTCAGAAGCACAGGTCACAGCCTGGTGATTGGTATCTGAAGTGGGGGGTGAGGGGCAGTCTGTAGGACTGAACGCTTAACCTGTGGAATCTGATGGCATCTCTAGATAGGTAGTGTCAGAATTCCGCTGGATTCTCGGATGCCCTCCTGGTGTCTGAGAATTGCTGGGTGTTGTATATGGGGGAACTCCTGCACTGGACTTAGGTCTAGGAAACTTTAAAACAAATGGTGTTTGGGGAGCCTGGGCGGCTCAGTTAGTTAAGCATCCAACTCTTCATTTTGGTTCAGGTCATGATCTCATGGTTGTGGGATTGAGCATGTCAGGCTCCTCCATGCTGAGTGTGGAACCTGCTTAGGATTCTCTCTCTCTCCCTTCCCCATCTCAAAATAATAAAAAAACATAAAAAAGTCGTGATCACCTCATTTTTAAAAGACAAAGAGCCTGGGGTGCCTGGGTAACTCAGTTGGTTAAGCATCCAACTCTTGATTTCAGTTCATGATCTCAAAGTTGTGGGATTGAGCCCCATCTTGGGTTCTGTGCTGAGAGCTGTGAGCTGAGCTTGGAGCCTGCTTAGGATTCCTCCCCTTTCTGTCTGCCTCTCCTCCGCTCTCTCTCCCTGTCTCTCTAACACACACACACACATACACACACACACACACACACACACACACACACACACACACGACAAAGAGCCAAACCTTAGTGGTAGATTTAAAAAAGATGATCCACAGAGTTGTATTTCCTTTAATATATAAAAGGTTCCCTTTTTTTATTTAGGGTCAAACTGTAGGGCTCTGATACCAACCTGGCACATGTAGTAGCCAAAATAGATGAAGAACAGAAGCAGAATCTCTCCATAAATACAATTTTATAAGCCAATAAAATGCAACCAAGTATGAAGGAAAAAGAATCAAGAGTTCTCACCCACTACTTTTAGGGGAGTTTCTTTTCCCATACAAAGGGAGAAAAGTCCTGAAGTTGAGTTTTCTAAACTATGTTAACAGTTCTCTAATCTGTCCACCGATAAACTCATTCAACTTTGGAGGTTGGTACCATGTGCTTCCTGCTGCCCTGGACACTTCCTGTGGACCACACTCATCACCTGAAGTGTCTGGGTCACCGGAAGACTACCTCAGTCCATTGCTGGAATTATAGGCTGAGTCTTGAGGCAAGACACACCCCCTCCTCTGCCCCCCAGCAAATAGGCCTTCTGCCCAGGGAGAGTCAGGAACCACAACACAGTTGGAATCAGAGAACAGAAGTGACAGAATCAGAATCAAGGTACTTCTTCCTAAGTTCATGAGTGTGTGATTTGATGACACAGTGAAGTTTGTACCTCCAAAGGACAAGGTCTTCTACCCCCACCCTTTCTAGAGGCAGCAGCCACCCTCAGAACCTGATTGCTCTACCCACAGCTGCAGTTCCCTGTTCTGAGGAACATTCTTGCCCGGAGCACCATGTGGAACCTTGGCATGGGGCTTAGGCTGGTAGGGGTTGAAGGGAAGGTGTTTGCAGAGGTCCATCAGGTCAAAGGCAGGTGCTATAGGCAGGCATTCCTGTGGTGCCACATTCTGACCCAGAGAATTTTCCTTCTTGATGTAGGTTCTAGTCACAAGCCACATGAGGCCAATAGTCAACATGAGCGCGACTGAAAGGAACCAGCAACTCCAACCAGCAGGTCCAGGTCAACTCCTGAAATACAAAGAAACATTTTTTTTTTAAAGAGAACTAAATGATAGGCTTATATTCCATTATCTAATGGGCTCTCAAAAGTGCCTTCAGAGATTTATACTTTTATCCCCTGTCCCTAGCATATTGCCTGATACATTAGTAGGTACTTATTTTTTGAGAGAATAAACAAATGAATTGTTAATATTTTATCAAAGCCAAAGCTAGACTTGGAACAAAATGAATCAGGTAATGTAAGGACCTTTCACCAACTTTTGCTACATAGCTCCCTCAAGAACCCTATTCATACACAGAGTTAACTTTGAAAAATGTCCCACATCCTCTTGTGATATGGAATCTAAATTGCCTAAGAGCTAATGACTAAAAGTCTTCCATGTTAGGCATATCAGAAATTTATTTTGTCTATTTTCTCTAAGTAGGCTCCATGCCCAGTGTGGCGCCCAAACAGGGCTTGAACTCACGACCCTGAGATCAAGACCTGAGCTGAAATCAAGAGTTGGGCACTTAACCAACTGAATCACCCAGTCACCCCTAATTTTGTCTATTTTTAAAAAGACAGAAATCATTAAAGAGACCAGAGAAGAACAAGAGCCAGCTGTATTCCAAAATGTATTCTATCATCATGTAACTTACTATAGATCCAAAGAACTAGAACTAGTTTGCATACCATCTAGAAACTATCGTTAGAGCAAAATCCACAGATGTCAGATTTCCAAAACTTCAAGATGGCTGCCTCACAGAACCTATTTCAACTTAACTCTTGTCACTGCCTACAGTGGACTGAATGCTTATATCCTTTCCAGATTAATACACCAAAATCCCAACCCCCAAGGTGATGTTATTAGGAGGTGGAATTGGGAGGTGATTAGATCATGAGGGTTGAGCGTTTGTCCATGGGATTAGTATCCTTATAAAAGAGGCCCAAGAGACACCCTCGCCCATTTCCTCTGTGTGAAGACACAGCAAGAATATGGCTATCTAAGAACTATGAAGCAGGTTCTCATCAGACACTGAATCTGCTAGAGCCTTGACCTTGGCCTTCTAGCTTTCAGAACAATTTCTGTTGTTTATACATCACCCAGGCTATTCTGTAATAGCAGAGTAAATAAAAACATTGCCTTATCTGGATACTTGGAGGGTGCAGGAAGAGAAAAAACATGAAAAAACTACAAATTGTCAGTCACAAGTAGATTCCTAGCCATAAGAAATCCATACTGAGTCTGTATTTTGTGACATATTCAATCTTCCTTTGAAATATGACAACTAAGAAACACACACACACACACACACACACCCAAAGAACTATGCAAATAGCATTGCAAGTTCACCCACCTGCCCTTGGGGTCTAATGGCATCTTTGCTGAAATGTCAACATCTAATATGCAAAGAGCTAGACAAAACCTTTGATGTCTAGTTGAATCCTTTGTTTCTCAGGGATATTTGAGAACCAAAGACCAAGGTCCCCCAGCAAGTTAGCAAGTTGAGAAATAGAAATCGTGCCTATTGACCTGCCTGTGGCAGCACCAGAAAGTTTATATTATTTCAGAGGTCCCAACTGAATTACCATCACCAGCAATAACTCCTTAAAAAGGCTAAGGGCATCCACTAGTTCATTACCAATTGCTTTATGCCACACCTGTTCAGAAGAAGCTCACTCAATCCTGTGCAAGTTCCTGCCCAATTTCATCTTTGGTAAGAAAATGTCTAAAAGGCTGAGTCTTGAGGCAACACACACCCCCTCTGCCGCCCCCAACAAATAGGCCCTCTCCCCAGGGCATGACAGATGGAGCTCTGGTGAAACAACCAGATGTTCAAGTTAAATTCTACACACAACTCCTTTGATCGGAGTCAGGAATGGAATCCTTATGGAAGTATTCCAAAGCTAAAGCTTGCAAAAGAAAAATCAGCACAATGAAGATCCTTCCAGTAAGTGCTTTCATACCACGTTCCAAGCTCTAGAACGGTTTCTGGACTTTGTATCCTTCAGAGAATGTTTGCTTTGGTGTTTGTGGCCAGAGGCATCAGAATGAGAGCTCAACCCTGACCTGAGGATGCTACAGGTCTCACAAGTGATCCCAGCAGCTTATAAGCATACACACAAGAGGGCATCTGGGCAACCAGTACCTTTGTGAGGAGTGTGCACACACAGCGTGCCAGGCTGCATGGGGTATGGTCTTCATACTCCTTTTGGAAGTGACATTAGTAAGAGCCAGATCTGTTCACACATTCTGCTCCATCATCACAGAGCTCCAGGCCAATTTCGCACTCATTCGCATCTAAAAATAGAAGAATAGACTACTCTGGTTAGTCTCACTATCTGGTCCCTTCTGCTGTACTATCCTCCAGACTATTCCAAAGACTCATCTTCTGCCTTTTTCCCACTCTTGTTGGTCTAAGCCACAACCCTGCCTCAGGGCCTCAGCATCATCTATCTGGAGGCCTCTTCACCCTGCTGGCTAGCTGCACAGCTCTCTCCCACATGCCTTCTCAACAAGGTTTTCCCTTACCACCTTCAAAGAACATTTCTCAATAGAACAGATCAACTTATCAACTAATATACTCTGCAATTTTCTTGCTTGTCTCCTAGCTAGACTGTAAAGTCCATCGGGAAGGAATTAGTCTTTTAGGTTCACTGTTGAACTCCAAGTACCCAGGACAATGCCTGATCCATAGTAGGAGTGAAATAAAATATGACATAATTAGATGAACTAATACAGCCAACCCTTCCTTAGGCCAGAAGGCAAGCATAACTCTCCCATGTTGATGACTGAGAAGGGGCAGCTCTCCATGGGAAATGAGATGGACTAGCACTAGGGGACTTTTCCTATTTACTCAATCCAGGCTGAATCTTGCCTAATCTTCCAAGCATAGTAAATACTGACTGCCACCAGCAGCCAAGAGACCCATCAACAGCTTCAAGAAAGGGGAATCTTTTCTCCACCTTATGGGTTCTTAGTGCATCCTCGATGAGGGTCCTTAGCTGATAAGACAGAGAATCAGGCACACTCACTACTTGAGATCTTAACTGAGTGTTACCAAAAAATATATGTGATATTCACGGCATCTTTTCTAGGAATGTTTTAGAAGAGAAGAATAGAGGGGCCCCTGGATGGCTCAACTGGCTAAGCATCCAACTCTTGGTTTCAGCTCAGGTCATGATCTCACAGTTCATGAGTTCAAGCCCCACATTGGGGGCAGTGCAGAACCATCTTGGGATTCTCTCCCCCTCTCCCTCTCTGCCCACCGCTCTCAAAATAAATAAATAAACTTTAAAAGAAATAGAAGGGAAGAATAGAAAACACAATCTAGATACCTCTTGGTAGAGAAATGTTAGTTTTTGAACAGACTAAGATTAGACCATAAAATTATGAAACTATATCGTACACTGTTGAATTCATTAACTTAGTTTGTTATCCAAACTCTAGTCCTTTCCATCAGGTAACAAGTCTTTGTTCTTGTCTGTATAAACATCTCTCTCTCCCATGAAAATTTAGCCTGAAGAGGTGGTTTTTAATTACATTCCCTGGGATGTTAATGGCTCTAGTTTACTGTATTTTACCAGGTTGTTCTCCCATTTACAATAAGGCAAGGGAAAGTTGTGTCAAAGTCTTATGTAGCACTCTAGTTTTAACACTTGATAGAATTTCCCCCATTTCGGGTACTTGGACTATATGTAAATTAATTAGGCTCCCCCGCCCCCACCCCAGATGGAATAACTACATATCAACACATCTCGAATAAACAACCAAACCTCCTGAACATACTTTTCCATTCCAGTCAGTCTGCCCTCCTCATTTGGGGATGAATAGTAGTCCTTTTCTCCAAAGATCTGTAAACAAAAGCAGAGATTGTATGAGACCACCTTATTACAGCTGGTCAAGACTCAACACATTCCTACCAACTGATTACGGAGGCTGCCTTCAGCCCCAGAACACAAGGGAGTGTTGTACCCAAAAAATCTGGTGCACCGCAGCCCTAGGTAGATAGCTGTGGCTTATTTCTAAAGGAGTGTTTTTTTTTTTTTTTTTTTGAGTAAACTTTAAGAACAGGAGTTAAAGGCAACTAATCTGAGGAAAGAACCGCTAAGTGATAATTATCATTAAAGTCAGGTCTTCTGGGGCGCCTGGGTGGCTCAGTTGGTTAAGCGTCTGACTTCAGCTCAGGTCATGACCTCGTAGTTCATGAGTTTGAGCCCTGCGTCAGGCTCTGTGCTGACAGTTTGGAGCCTGCTTCGTATTCTGTGTCTCCCTCTCTCACTACCCACCCCCCCCTTTCAAAAATAAATAAACATTAAAACATTAAAAATAAATAAATAAATAAAGTCAAGGCTTCCTGAGATAAGGAAAGAAACTTATTATCTTGTGCTCCCATTTTTTGACTATCTTTTGCATCTGCTACAGATCTCCTCCTTTTTAGTTATGAAAGAAAAGGGAAAACCCACAATACTACACATTTTACACTTCAGTGTGTGCACTTCATTTCTCTTATGGAGTTATGTTGTATGCACACAGGTTTGCAGATTTTCAGAGATTTGTATTGGTATAGTCTTTTAGTGGCTGTAAAGGAGTCAAGTAGAGGGTACCATAATTTATTTGATCTTGCTCATCACTCATATTTCTAACTTTCATTGTGATAATCTTGTGATAAATATAATGATGTATGAGTTTTCCAAGTTCCATCTTTCTGGGATTTCCAGAAGTGGGATGTGTGGGCCTGAGAACCATTTGTTCTCTTGATATATGTTACCCTGTCTTCCAGAAGGGGCATGATCATTTATAGTCCTCTGAGCAATGTCTCATAACCACTAACACTTGCTAGATTGTATTACATGCCAGGCACTGTTTTAAACTCTTCATATTAACTCATTTAATCTTCATAACAATCTTATGAAGTAAGTACTATTATTCTCATTTTATAGAAGAGGAAACTGGGGCACAGAAATTATGCCAGATCTTTTTACAGGAAGAAAATTAGTTAGAGGAAGAATCATATTATCAACTGAAGGTGAACAAAGCAGAACAATCACTGAGGTCTATTAACAGCCTAAGGCTGTATCCAGCCTTAGGAGACAAATAGTGTGAGATGGGTACTCCTTTGTACCATCTCAGTAGCTATGGTCCTTCCCCCAAACAACTCAGCAACCAGTTGAGAGATCCGGCAATAACACAGATATAGTAGTAGTATCCCAGTCAATTTAGGTCTTGGTAAGTTAGAAACTTTTAGAACTGGAAACTTTGTTAAACTCACATGTGGACTTTATAGAGCTAAGAAAACAGATTTGGAATGGGGACTTTGTCCAAAACTCTATTAGGGATGCAGCTGGAACTAGAGCATAATCACCTAAACCCCGGTCTGACATCCCTCTTTCATGTGTCCCCTGATCCCAGCCAGAAAGCAGTCAGGGTATGGAGGACAGTTTCCCACCTGGGGGAGGGAGAGGAGGGCGGTGGGCCGGGGAAAAGAGGATGGAGTGGGGAGAGGGAGAAAGAAAATGAGAACGTGCAGGGGTGGGGATCCCCGCCAGAGACTGCTGACCTTGTCACTAGAACAGGAAGGGTCTGTGGGCACACAGGTACTTAGTCCAGGCCTCATCTCCCCTCCTGCTTAATTTCTCTCACCACAGATTTTAACACTTTGGAAGGGTCCCCACTCAAAGCCTCTTTGAGGAGCTCTGACTTAACCATCACTTTGACTAAGACGTCTGCCAGAGAGAGGAAACAAGAAACCCCTATCAACAAAGCATACCAATAATGCTTTAGTCTCATGAGCCTCACTGGGACTTTTACCCCTGCCCTGCACCCCACCACCTGACCAGAAGCATGCTCTTGTTTGCATTTATGTTTGCGTTTACACTAGACTTGGGAATGGATTCTGAGACAATGGCCCCAGGGTCATGCTGCTATTCAGTTTAAACCTGATAAATACAAAAACTTAGACCCAATACACTAAAAAAGTATTGAGTTTGAGTATTTGGAAAGTTGAGGGGGGGTGGTGGCACATAGCTTGAAATCTGGATCAGAAAGGCTGATTTCTGATCAATTTCCTGATGGGACTAGTGAAAACAATTCTTTGTGAATATTCCCAAACATACAGCCTCTCTCCTGCTATCGGCTTACAAGATGGCTTTGGAGGATTCAGGTCTGTAAACATGATTTGTGGTTTAGAATATATCTAATACTCTTCAATTTTGAAACCTCACCTCTCGGATTATGTTGAAATGCTAGAACAGAGCCATTTCCAGAAAGGGAGAAAAGTATTATTATATCTTCATGAGTCACGAGAGAAAGTAAAAGAGATATTAGTTTGGCCTTCCTATTTATATGAATCAAATTCCTATAGTGTTTCAAACTTAGTGCAGACATTGATAATGGTTTAAATAACAGATGAAACATAGACAACTCATATTCTGTGCCAGGGTACTAAACATTCAATATGCTCTGTATAATTAAGTCAGTTAATCCTCACAACCCTATGAGGTGCTATCATTTCCATTTTACAGAGTATAAAACAGAGAGGTTAAATGACTTACCCAAGGTTGCACAGCTAGCAGGCTCCAGAGCCAGAATGTAAACCCAAGCTGTCTGGTTCCAGAAGCTGCACTTAAGCCAAAGCACCTTGTAAGATTATACGTGTGCTTGACTTTCTTCTCAGCCTCGGTTACTTTACATATAAAATGGAGAGCCTATCACCCAATGTCAAGATTCTTGAGGGATTAGCAGCAGAACAGTATGAACATTTTATATAGTGGAGTCTCACTTGGAATTCACTCTTTCTCCCATGATTAAGACTTATTCTTTATTTCTGAGAAAAACTGAGTCAGAGAAACAATCATGACAGATTGGAAGAGACCCAAGAACCTGCCTACTACAACCACCCTTCTTCCCTTGTCTGGAAGGTCAAACTCCTTTCTCTGCTTTCTTTGGTCACTTATAGCAATGAGAATGCTGCTCACAGTGCAGTCTAATCCATTTCAGAATAGGGAGGTAACTTTTTCAACAGTAAAAAACAAACAAACAAACAAACAAAACCTCCAACAGCTTTTCAAATACAACAGCTGCCAAGTTATCCCTTTCAATAATTTTCAAGACTCTCCTCTCCCCTTGATAACACTTCCTGGGTTCCAGCTTGACAAAACTTGTCAAAGTTACTTTCAAAGTATGACATTCAGGCAGGGTATAAGTACAGCAAAATAAAGGAGGATTATCACCTCCCTTGATCCACATCTTCTACTTCTATTAATATGGCCTAAGTTTGTGTTCTCCAAACAGTGCTAAAATAGCCATGCCTGTGATACCATATCTCAACTCCTAATCCCAATTACCTTCCACCCTCTAATGTTGCCTCTTGATACTAACTGACCAAAAAGAGGCTTTTGAGAAAATAAACACAGCAATAGCTCTCTTGGCCAAAGCAGAACATGGCCATGAAACCAAACTGTTATGGCCCTCAAGCCCAATAAATGATTGAAACAATCACAAGTCAGAGTCTCAAAGGTTTGAACTGTTCCGAAGTCCAATTCAGTCAACTTCTGTTGCTAACTTTGAGGCTGATCTCTTTCCAACTCTTCCCACCTTCAGACTCTATAAGATTGTACTCCTACCCCTCTTGTGTTTGGGCATGCTTGAGCATCACTTCTGGACCACAGCACTTAATGGTCTATGCAAGGCAGATCCCCCCACCCCAGAACTCTTCCTCTTTAGTGAGGCAACCAACAGCCATCAGGCTGGGTACCTGAGGGCCTACGATAAGCAGAGGTCACCTCACCTGCCCAATATGACAGACTATAGCCTCAGTGAGAAATATATCTTCCTTTATTTTTAAGCCACTGAGATGAGATGGTGGTGGTATTTGTTACCGCAGTATAACTTAGTGTGTTCTGACTGATACAACTCCATTATTAAATTATTAAAAGGAATGGAGTCTCCCCCCAACATTTCCTAGATCCTTCTTATACCACCTAGTATCTCAGAAGAGCTGACACCACCAAATACTTTTCCTTCTTTTTTTCTCATTGGTTTTAATAGTTTTCTTGGAAGTGAAAATGCTTAGGATTATAGAAGCCCAAGTGTTAACTGATATACCAGAAGGAAAACCTCATCCTAAGGTCTTAGACAACAGCTCATGCCAGCAGCTGTAGCAACAGCATAGGCTGTTACCACCCTCTGAGTCACTGCCCTCCAGCCTGAGAGATGAAGGGGCCACCTGACCCATGAGCCCAGAGCAGGGAAGGGTAGTTGAAGAACAAAGGGAGAAAGATATTGTCAAGAACAAACTAAAATTCTATCTGGCCCTGCCATTAAGTTAAAGCTGTCTCTAGAAATAGCTCTCTACTGGGTGAAACTAGTTCATGGTAAGGAGAGCCGACCGGGAAAATGAGAAATTCCATAAACAGCCTCCCAGCAGAAACACCTCTAGCCACAGATGTGTAGTCACTGTTCTCATACAGGGCATGATCAGAAACAAATAGTGCCAACTTATTTAAAAAGTTACCAAATGTGGGGTGCCTGGGTGGCTACGTCAGTTGAGCGTCTGACTTCAGCTCAGGTCATGATCTCATTGCTTGTGAGTTCTAGCCCCGCATTGAGCTCTGTGCTTACAGCTCAGACCCTGAAGCCTACTTTGGATTCTGTGTCTCCTGCTCTCTCTGGCCCTCCCCCACTTGCACTCTGTCTCTCAAAAATAAAGAAACATTAAAAAAAAATTTTAAGTTACTAAATTGTTATAATTTTGCTTTCTGCTCTGCAGAGTCCCCAGAATGCCCAAGTCACAGGACTGTGTGGGGTTTGCCTTCCTTTCCATGAATTATGTAGTCACTTCAGGGGAGAGACCCTCCTCTATCCCCCCACACTTGGGGAGTCTACAGTATTCAGCACTTACATGGAGTACAATCAGCTTCCTGGGCTCCCCTCTGACCCCTGAAATGCCCCAATTTCAAACCATGGGATTTGAGGGAAAGAAGTTGAAGTTCAATGTGATAGGATTCTAAAACCTAATATTTTGGCAGGATGGGGTAGGGAGTTGTCAAAAGATGGAAAAAAAAAAAACCCCAAAACCTGTACCTATTTTCCAGGAAGATATTTGGGAGGGAATAACTGGTACTCATGAACTAATTGGATCTCCCTGATGGAAATACACAAAGCATCCAGAACTGAGAAGATGCCTCTAGAGCATTTTTAAAAGACTTTTCCCCTCACTCAAAGACCTCCTCCACCAGGATTCCACAAAGTCTCATCATAAGCTCTTACTCAGTTGGATTTATCATTGTATTTCCTGAAGTTCCTAAGAAGATACTCCAAGGAGAGGGAACATTCATCCAACTGTTACAAGCTATGAGCCAAGAATGTTCTGGGCCCTAGCAATAGATACACTAGTGAACACATCAGGTGACCTGTCCTCGTGACACTCACATTCCAGCGAGGCACACAGTAAACAAGAAAACTGCTGATAGCAATGAGTGCTCTGAAAGAATTAAACAGGGTGATGTGACATTAACTGTTGATGGCATATGAGCTGAGACCTAGAGGGACAAAAAGGAGTCAGACAGGTGAAGGGCTACGGCCACTAACAGAAGTCAGGAGGTTTGGCTCAGTGCGGGACGCAGCACAGGTATGTTTTCAGGAAGGGAAGGGAAGGCAAGCAAAACCTCGGACCTAGTCCTCTCAGGCATGCCTCCTGCAAAGCAGCACTTCAAACCACCTGATGTGAGGTTTTCGACCTTGAGTAGCCCTTCCACGACCATGCGCAACAGGATGGCAGTCCCCTGTGGCCAGTCCTTCCCACTTGCTGCTGTCCACAAGCAAGACTGTGAATGAGAAGGCATCAATGATTGAATTCTTCACCACTCAGCTGGGGAAGGAAGCACTGGGGGTTTGTGCCTTGTGTCCTGGGCTTGTGTTGGGACAAGGGTGTGGTCCCCAAAAGGACTGCTGGCGCGTTACCTGCGGCCCCACGGAGCAGGCCGTGGAGCCGGGTGACAGCCTGGTACTTGGTACCACCAGCTAGAGGGGCTGGTCCTGTTCAGTTTGATGTCCAATCCCGACTTCCTCAGCACTTCTCCTCTCCAGGGGCTCCTCTTGGAGAGATCTGCTTCCCCAGAGGTTAGGTGAGGAGTCCAGGCTGTCTCCCATGGTTAACCTGTACAATTTCTAAGCCATTTCTCTAGCGTTCTCTTCAAGGGCAGCTGCAGACCCTAACACTGTATCCTCCATACTTGGAAGGAACGGAGAGGACTTTGAGGGCCATTCTGAAGGAGCTGACAGCCGACAATTCACCAAACCATCTGACATAGGTTTACTCTACAATTTGGGGTTCCAGAAAGCAGTAGTGAGCAGGACTTCCGTTAGACCCCTTTCTCCATCCAATGCCTTGTTTAGCTGTAGCCTTGGGGCTATTAAGGTTTCATCTATGAACAAAAGATCTTCCCCATCAGGTAGAAGGGGAAAGGGGGACAGATGTCCTCTAGCCCCCAGGGCTCCCTCATCCGTCATCCTAGCAAGACCCTCTGCCCCTCTGCTGCTCAGCCCCATGTTGGTGACACTTGTGTCTGAGATGGTTTCTAGCTGCCACTTTGGGGTCAGGACAGAGTGAGGACGTAGGGAGTAGGAAGAATGAAGAAGGAACCAGGCTGTGGAAGACCCAGCTAACGAGTCATAGAGAAGAGCACTATAAACGCAACCTTATTCGGACAATGGGCTTATGCTTTAGGGACGAAGCTACTCACTTTTCAGAAGGCTCTCAGCTGACGTGTCACCACCTCCAGAAACTTCTCACCTACTTCCGCCAAACTCCTCCCTTCTCCGGTTGACCGCAGCGCCCTGTGAGGCCTTGCAACGGACAGTAGTCACACAGTATTTGTCATGTTGCTTTTGGGCATCACTGGGTTGTCTCTAACACCCTCCTGTGAAAACCTGACAGTAGAAACTGGCTGCCTCCCAGTGGCTGCTGCCCAACAGCACACTCAAATGCCTGCTGGGTGGAGTGTGGCTGTGCGGTGTTCACGGCCTCTGCTCCAGAACAGAGAGGCAGAGATCTCAGGGGCTGATTGGGCACGAATTTCCCACTCTGACTCACACCTGGGAAGGTGATGAGGGAAGCAGACTATCCAATCCAAGGTTTATCAGCAAGTAAGGCAATGGTAACACCTGGAATACATGGCAAGGTCTTTAAGAGGCTCCTCATGGGCCTTCCACCATCCCGACGCAGGGTAGCATGTGAGTCTTTGCTGACTTCATCTACCATTTGCCTCTTCCTTACCTCTGCGCCTGTCATATTTCCCTGGAGCCTCTCACCATGGCCTCAGTTCTCAGAGACCTGCACTACTAATCCTGGCACCAAGTAGCTTTGAGAGAATAGGCACGGCCCAACATCTAGGCTGTGTGAGAGCCCATCTCTACCGTGCAGTGAAGCGGGTCTAGGCACCCCAGGAAGGAATCCCCAGACACCTATATAGTGCTGAAGCAGAGCACCCTGAAGAAAGCTGGCTACAGCCTGATCTCCTCACAGACACTGGGAGTTTTATTCAGTTCTGCAGAAGTTAGAACAGCCAAGTCTAAGCAAACATAGCAGGAAAAGTGAGAGAATACATGCCTCTGGCACTCTGGCTAACCAGGAGCTCTGAAGGACTGCCCCACTTACAGAACCAGATCCTGAGTAGTGCAGACACAAAATTTCTCATTTGGAAGGAGGGGGGCTCTATGCAACCCTGCCCTGCCTTACTCTCCAAAGAAAACCAGGAAGGGGTTAGAACAGCGAGAACTTACTAGAGACATGTTGTCCTGAAGGGGGTTATGGACACTCCTGGCACAGCAGCAAGGTGGGGACAGGAGTCTGGGACTCCTGCTATGAGGAGAGCCCTGGAGGGGCTGGTATGCTTCCAGGTTGGTACATATCAGCCTACAAACAAAAGTGCATCTTCTTTGAAAGAAGGCCTGCCTGCTTAGGCCTAGAGCAGGAGTCCACAAACTGTAGCCCTAGGACAAATACAGTTGCTACCTGTTCTTGTAAATAAAGTTTTGCTTTAGAGGCGCCTGGGTGGCTCAGTCGGTTAAGCATCTGACTTCGGCTGCTGGCAGCTGGAGCCTGCTTCAGATTCTGTATCTCCCTTTCTCTCCCCCCACATCTCTCTCTCTCTCTCTCTCTCTCTCTCTCAAAAATAAACATTAAAAAAAATTTTTTTAAAGTTTTACTTGAATACATTAAGCCCATTCATTTATATGAATGTCGGAAGTATTCTACAACTTGTCCTGCCCTATGCAGTAGCCACTAGGGACTCATCACTACATGCTTGCCCCACTTCATCTCAGACCGGAAGCAGAAGGGCAAGCCCAGGTTATGAACATTCCCTAGGAGGGCTCAGAACCATGGCTGGAACAAGATGCCACACAACCTGCTGCTGTGTGCCCCTACTACCTGGGGATGATGTCCAACCTCAGGAACCCTCAGCTCACTAAGTATTCCTCGGGGGTGTCTAAGGAATCCCAGGACAGGACTTCATTCTGGGTCAGCTGGAGACAGAAGGAAAGGACAGTAGAAAGTTCACTGTCTACCTCCATGGCTTCTCAATCCAATCTTGCCAGAAATACACCAAGAGCAGTCTTCTCTTTCGTCCCTTCTCCTAGGGCCAACACAACAGATGTCAAAGGCAGAGTGGGTACCAGAAGCCAAGCAGTTGAGGGTCAGCCCCCTCATGCAGCCACCAGATGGCCATGCAGGTGAGGACGGTGGTCCTCAGCACTGGCTATGCCTTAGAATCATCTGGGAAACATGTAAACATCCAAATGCCCAGTCCCCACCCCAAACTAAGTCAGGATCTCTGGGCATGGGACCCAGGCCTTGGGACTTTTAAAGCTCCCAGGTAATTCCTATGTTTAGCCAAAGTTGAGAAAAGCTTCTGTATTCTCTCCTAACTTCAGCCCCTTAGAAAGGTCAGTGTAGACATGGTAGAGTTCTCCATCTTACCTGAATCATTCATTTGGATGATGGTCTTAGTGCTTGGCTGTCCCAGGTTGCTCATCTCTGAGATACAACCCCATACGTGTTAAGAATACTTATCATGATACTTCTAAGACCTAACTGGAAGATTTTATCTCTGCATTGAATAGTGTTGTCAGCTTTGAGTTTCTAAGAAGGCCAAGAACCATGCCCCCAGCCCTGACCCTTATGACAGAGTTTGGTTGGAAGCAACACTGTGTTGGAAGCTGGTGGAAGTTCCTTGTGGGACAGAACAAGGAGACTCAGCGGTCAACAGCAGGGCTTGGCAGGGCTCTGATTTTTAGTTACTCATGATTTCCTGTAGTTTGGGGGTAAAGACAGAAGTAGAAGACACCAGAATAAAAGAATGAATCCTGGTCTTAGGGGTGTCATTATTTGATGACTACCTCCTTGCTCATTTCCTCAAAGGCAAAAGTCCCCAAATGTTGTGACAACATAGACTTTGTACCCATTTTGTGAACACACCTGACTTGTTTGTGTCCCTACAGTGTCATCCACCTGTTCTTCAAGAGCTCTTCTGCCTGTGGCACTATTTCTCTGCCTGACGTGTTAGCCTGAGGTCAGTGGCTAAGCCTTACTGGGCTGTACCTCCTGTAGCCATAACTCTGGAGGGGCTCCAGGAGCATTGAGGGGTTGGTAAAATATACAGGCAGAAATGTTTGGAGAAGAGGAAGGCTGTTCTTCCCCTCTCTCAGGGCTCTTTTGAGACGTAAACATGATTAACAGGATGGTGGGCAGCATGCTGCAAGAGTTCAACTTGGGGTAGATATTACGAGTGTCACTCGCCACTATCCAGGGGCTGGAAATCCACAGGAGACATGCCTCACAGTAGGAGCAGGAAGCACTTGTTTTCCACAGAGGCCTTTCTCCCCCTTCTCCCCCACTGCCTCACCTCCCCACTGATTTATCTAGCAAATAGCCCCAGGAACCTACCACTCTGCTTCACCCCCCTTGTCTGGGGTAACTAAAGGGGCTCTGAACAAGTTGCTGATAATGCTGTTTGGAGGTCTGAGGCCAGCCCTGCCCCTCACTCGAGCATAGCCATGAACCACCCACTCCTGCATGGCCCCTTCAACCCAGGCTTCCTAAGAGCAACTGGGTGGCAGGCGGGCTCTCCCTGCAGCAGGAACTGGATGGTCCCTGCATATTCACCTCCTTCTCCTAGGGCCTGAATGCCTGGCCAGACGTGGGGCTGGATCTGAAGCCTGATTGTGGACATGGGCCCGGCCCTGGCTCTGGGGAGCTTCAATTCCAGCCATCAGGCAAGAGAGGGAAACCCAGGGGAGGAAAGTGGGGATGGGGGCTCCCCTACCTCTCCAAGCAGCAGAGGCCTGAGGTCAGACACAGCCTCCACTAGCTCCTCCTTTCAGGCATCCTTGGCCTGAGGGGTGACTAATGGGGCACCTGTTCTGCATGATCCAGCAAAGGGCAGGATGCCCCTCCACAGGTGGACTTAATCAGTACGGGGGGCGGGGGGGGGGGGGGGAATGTATGTCAAGAGCCACGGGGGATCATGTCAAAGCTAAGGGAGTCACTTCATCCCACCCCCAGCCTGTCAGCTCTCACCAGAGGCTGAAAGGAGAGGAAACAAGCCTATAGACTCCTCCTTATTTACTCCTCAGCAATCTTGCACCCAGACTGGGCAGGGCTAAGGCTGGGGATTCCCCTGCAGTGAAAACAAGATGGATCTGCAAATTGACCAGGGAGTCACTTGGTCCCCTTCCTCCCTGCCCAGTGCCTCCTCATCCATCAGCTCTCCTCTGAGACATCTGTATACCCTCTCCCACAGGAACCTGCTGGCAGGAAACCAGGGGCATCAGTTTTGGCACCTTGGTGTGATTTCAATCCTCATGTCACCTCTCCCACCATGCCTTGGCCTCTGATTGGGACAGCAAAGCCTCGTGGCCACACTTTCCCTGAACTGAAGAACTCCAGGCATGGTGAATCTCTGGAGGAGATATGGGAGTGGGGATGGGGTGGGAGGTGCAAAGGCATCCTAGGGCCCCGAAACTGTATCATCGAAGTGAATCTTGTCAGCTCAGGCCCTGCCCCCCTGAAAGTATGGACATTCCTCACAGTTACATCCTTGGTCAAGGTCGCTCCTCCCTCCACACTTCTCTCGGGGTCATCTCTATAGCATACAGCATGCTTACTGCCATCCGTGCCCCATACCTTCAAATCCTTACCTCCACTCTGAGGTCCCCGAATATCATGCCTGCGTATTGGGCTGATTTCCACCCAACACATAGGTCTTCTTCCCCACATGTCTGCTCCTTCCTCTAGAGCTTGATCAACAGTACCCCCACCACCCTGGTATCACCAGGCCTCATGCCGTGAGCCATCCTGACCTCCTGAGATTCTCTCCCTTGCTTTCCACAGCTGCTCTACCTTGCATGACACCTGCTGTATACACCGCCATCCTCTCCATTCATTCTGCCATTGCCTTAGTTGGGGCCCTGGAACGCTCACTTGCCTATGGTAATATTGCATGTTCACTGTGACTTTGGGGACCCCTTGCGCATGGTTTTTCTGCTTAGTTAAAGATTATTCAAAAATAAATTTGGTTTTTCGAAATCAATGCCATTTTTGTTATCAAAAACTTTCTTTTAGCTTTTTAAAAAATATTTAATTTTTATTTATTTTTGAGAGAGAGAGAGAGAGAGAGCACGCGCGCGCGCGCGTGTGTGTGTGTGTGTGTGTGTGTATGTGAGTGGGGAGGATCAGAGAGAGAGGGAGACACAGAATCCAAAGCAGGCTCCAGGCTCTGAGTTGTCAGCACAGAGCCTGACGCGGGGCCTGAACTCACGAACCACAAGATCATGACCTGAGCCGAAGTCAGATGCTTAACCAACTGAGCTACCCAGGAGCTGCTAGCTTTTTTTTAACATGAAGAATTTAATATAAAGAATCAGTAAGTAACCTAAATTTATGGACTCTGAATTATCATTCAGAGATAATTGTCAGCAAGTAGAGCTTTTAAAGGTCAAGAGCCAAGCACTTTCAGGTGCCATTAAATATATATTCTGTCTTCAACCATGTTTAAGTGGCACATTGCTCATTCAGGGACATTAAATACATTCACATTGTTGTGCAATGACCACCACATCCATCCACGAACTCTCTTCATCTTGCAAAGCTGAAACTGTACCCATGAAACACTAACTCCCCATTTCCTCCCTTTTTGGCCCCCGGCGCCCTCCCTTCTACTGTCTATAGGAGTTTGACTGCTTTAGGTACTTGCTATAAGTGGAGTCATCTGAAGCCTGATGAATCCATCTCAAGCCTTTGGCTTTGACCTCTCCTTTCGCCTGTAATGCCCTCTCATGACTTTCAGACTC